TTCTTAATCAACAAATAGATTCCATTATCTCTAATCTTATCTGAAAATATGCCTTTTAAAAGATTTTACTTAAGATTCAGTGTTATTGGAATATATGGATTTACTCTTGTCATTTACTTCTTTTCCTCCTTTCCTGACATCTCTTGGATTTATGGTTTACCATATTCCTCTTTCTCCCTCCTCTGATGGTTTGAGAGCTTTAAATTAGTTATATATTTTCTAAAGTAATTTTGAAAAGTGATGTACCCTTTTTATACTTCAACATAAAACCCTTTTTAAGTTTCAAAAACTGTAAAGAAAGTCATTTCAGTAACACTGACGTTTTGAGCTAATTGTCATAGTAATTTTCTATCTAAAAACACTCCTTAACATAGTAGGAAATTTTACACTACCTTATTCCCAATTCATGTTTCTATTTTATTTCCCCACGTAACTTTTATCTCATTGTAATGAAAGTGTAATGTTTAGAAGTCCTTTACTGATATCCTGTCATACATCTGTTTCTCAAAAATGTGTGAAAAATATATTTACTGAAATTAAAAAGATCTATTTCAAATGGCTATAAACCTTCAAGTTTGAAGACTGTTATCTGGATTATCATTACTATTCAAATAATAAATTAAGATGCCATAAATATTACTAATTGCTAGAATGAGACAATTATATTACTATTTTTAAACTATAGATAAAAACTATAAAACTATAGATAAACTATAGAAAAAATGTTGAGAAAACTCATTTATGCCTATAAGTGAAAAGGGACAGAATTTTGTTGTAGTGATGTCACTTTTTAAGTTATATGCCAGAAATAATAAATTGATCATCTAATTATTTTTAATAATCTTTAATTGATAATCTGATTAAGCTTTTTCCAATTTTGTTGAAAACAAAGAATTGAAGAACCACCCTCACTGAAGTCTTTTGCTGGTCTGGCCATTTTCTTTCTCAATTCCTTGGAAACTTAACTAAAAGTTAAGACATCAAGATGTCTTTACCAAGATGTCACTTATTCACTGAGCATCATCTTGCTTATGGAGCTTAAAATTAAGACAATCCTGAGTATAAATATCCCCATAAAACTGGAAATTGCACATATTTATTGAGGATAACTCTACATAGGTTAGAAGCATTATTTTGAGAAGTATGCCTTTTACAGAATTAGAACAGAATATAAATATCTGAGAAAAATTAATTGTAAGAAAGTAAAGCTGGATTTTTAATGTTACATGCACTTTCCTAGACTGTTTTGTAAAACATTTATACCTATACCTATACATGAATAGATGTTTTGCTTTTTAAAAGTATTGTTTAAGGTGTTTTATCAAACTAAGATGCACATTTTAACATCTCTGAAATTGAGATGCAACCTATATATATGTGTGTGTCTGTGTATATATATATATAGCATATTATAGTTTAGTTGGTAGTATTTTTACTAAGTGGTACATAAGGGATTATATATAGTCATGTAATAACAGTTTCTTAGATGTATATTAGAATAAAAATTAAGAGCAAATCAGCAAAGATATTGGGGCAGTACTAAGTTTAGGGTTTATACAACACATACTTATGACTACAATGTTTTATTTATGGTAAAATCCACAATATGTTTCGGTTAATTTAAATGTAAACACAAAGTAGAAATGAAAAAAAGAGATGTCTCAAAGACAGTAAGTAGGTGACTTGGGCCAGGTAAGAAATTAATATGGATTTACAGAATCTAATAATGAACTGGCAAATGATAATGTTTTTCATAAGAATCTGAAAAATGCTCTAGAAAATATAAAAACCACAAACTTACCTCTGAAACAAGATGTTTTAACTTGAAGATCTAAGGTTAATATGTCAGAAATAAACATGGAAATTTTAACTTCTCTTTGAAATCATGCAAATTATATTATTAAGACAGGTTTGAGACATATTCATCAGGCTCTCTATCATTATTGAAAGTGGGGAAAAGACAGTTTGCCTGACAGCAGATACACCAAAACCCATCAAGCTTTTATACCAATACTAAATAGATGAGATAGACAGATAAGGCAAGCAACTTTATCATTTGTTTCCCAAAAATAAGGTGCCTTTCTCTTCATGTTATGTTCATGCTCTCTTTGCTTTACTTTCACATGATTCACACACAGGAAAAATCATTTTTTGAATAGTCAATAGACAAAAAAGGAAAGGCAAGGTCATTAAACAAAAACTGTCATTGCTCTATCTTTGTATCCCCACATTGGCCAATATAACTTATTTCTAAGACCACACTTCACCCATAATGAAAATAAATTAACTTTCACTATACTTCCTTGGGCAGTCAGAACAGTCTGCTCAAGTTGAAAGTCCAGGGACATACCTTTACATCTTGATGAGGTACAGGAAAGGTTCTGGGAGTCTGAGGGACCTGAAATATTGTTGGTATCATTTTTGAAAAACAAAACCTGCCATAGGTATCTTTTGTCAAGTGGTAGAAGGGTAATTATGAAAAGGCAGAAGGGAAAATAGAGAACTAGCATCATCCACTGATGATAAAATGTTCTTTAAGCACATCATTTTAACAAAGAGTCATTTGGGATTTGAGGATCTGGATCTGAATCCCTTAAAGCTATCCTTGTCTTTAAGACCCAGCTAGAGATTATACTTCTGTTCTTCAATTACAGGAATATTTAAGAAGCATGCTTAACTATAAATTTCCCTAAAAAGGTTATTTAACATTTCTATGGAGGTAAAAATGTGCCTTCTGGAACAATTAAAAGTTATTTTTCATTTAAAAGAATGATCAGTTTCTTCACTCAGCTAAACAAAATAGGCTAGTAACATAAACAAATCAATATCAATGTTTAAAGACCTTTGATAACTATGTACACTAATAACCAGAGCAAAAAAGCAATGTACATTTACTGAGGACAAAAATGTTTCTTTTAAAATCAGAAAGGTCAGATATCTGGAAGCAGATGCTGGTAACTTGGCAAAAAAGAAATTCTGCATTTAGTTGTTGAAGATTACACTTATAAACTAGTAAAAATATACATAAGCCATTAGAAAATTATAATTTGAATGTTACAAATATGTTAGTATGTATTAGCATAAAACATCTTTTTTATTTTTGTCAATAATCCAGTGATCTCTAAGCAATGGCTTAATAATTATTTCTAAATGCCATTTCTCAGAGATTTTCTTACCTATAAAGTTCAATAAAAGTATTCTACTTGCTCTAATTTTCATCACATATGACCTTAAATCATCTAGAAAGACATTAAGTAGGACATTCCCTTTAGAATATTGGGGGAAAATTACTATGTTCTTTGTATACAGCAGATAAAAGCAGAGCAATATAGTAGTTATAATCAGAATGTCAGCATCCATTCGCTAAATATTTATTAAGCACCTACTATTTTCCAGGCATCATTCTCAAAAAGCTGAGGATACAGGGGTGAGTGAGAAAGTAACAGCTGCCATTTAGAGTGCTTACTATGTGCCAGGCTCTGGCGTAACAGTTTTCACACATGTAAACCCATTTAATCCTCAAACACAACACCTCTATGACATGGGTACTGTTAATCTTTTCATTTTACACATAAGAAAATTGAGGCACAGAGAAGTTAAATAACTCACCTAACTAGTCTGCCTCTGAATTTCTCTATTCCACATCTTTCTGTATAGTAATAGTATTTGAATATAGTAACAGTAGTAGTCCTGAGTCTCATGAAGCTTTTATTAATCTAAGTCCTTCCTTATTTCCTGTTCTGCCTCTGTGAAAGACCTAACATACAAATAGAACTGGTCACGGCTCAAATAACTGGTGTGACCATCTCACTTTTAGAAGTTTCTTTCTGGGAATGTTTAAACAAAATTTTAATGAGCTATACTTTCATCATATATTGACCCCAAAATACCTAAAAAGCCTGAATGTTCTAAGACTTGGTTTTGTTTAAATAGTTGGGGAAAATGAATATCCCTTTATATTTTTCTCATAACCATAGGCATATGTACACAGCATTCTGTCCTTTGGAAAACCTTGATTTAGTTCAGGTAGGCCTAGTGGTTCTAAGATTATGGGACTCTGCCTCATTCTAGGGATGGGTCCATGTTCAAATTTATTATGTCACACCGTCTTGGTCATAGTTATTGGATCAAGACTACAAAAAAAGACCAAGCATGACTGATCTGTCTTCACTGGGACTGACAAGAGTTGAGAAATATTCTCTTCACAATGGAAGTGATTTGAGACTGCTGATAGCCATCTTCCTAAACTCAAGAGAAAATGATTCCACAATACTGGGAGATATGGAGTAGAGAAATTCAGACACAGAATTCTTTAATTTAGCTATGGAAGAAATAGGTCCATCCTTGCCTTTTTCAGTTAAATGAGTATAAAGGCTACAAATAGTGTTAAATTTAAGCTTAAGCGGGTTTCTCTAACTTTCTACCACATTTCAAAGCATTTTTACAAAAGCATTACATAAAATATGGACACAGAACAATGGTTATAATATGAATAGAAATCTTTTTTTATTCTCTTCCTTTATTCCCTTTCCCTGTGAACAAACATATAGACCTGTCTACAGCACAAAGTATGGTCTATCTATTTTCAAAAGCAGTATCCAAAATATATACTGATGAATTCTATCTATGTGATTACAAAGCATTATTTTAATAATTCTTTAGCATTTAACAAAGCACAATATAGCTAGAAAGACAAACTGCTTTATTTTAAAACATTAGAAAAAAAACATTAAAAGGCAAATGTCCATTATATAACCAAGAATGTTAAGCATTTGGAAAATGTCAATCTTCTAAACTGTGGTAGGCACTTCCAGAGAGCTAAATATTGCAAATTATCCTACCATATGTCTTCTCTAATACCAAAAATACTTGATATGATGAAACACACAACTAAAATTACCCAATCAAAGTCACCATGTTAGGTTTCAATTTAATTACAAGTAAAAGTTTTGTCCGAGATGTTCCTGACACATGAAGCGTCCAGTTGAATTTCAGAAATGTTAACAAAAGTATCTTCCTTTTTTGCCTGTGAATGTTTGAGTATTGCTGTATTGTTGGCTTATATCCACTACAGATACTGGTTCTAGGCCAGCCCAAGGGTCTTCAAGCATTGAAGGCTTGAAATAACTCTCCAACTCATTAGACATTCTCTTTTCTCTACCACGCCCTGATCCAAATGGTGTAGATGTCCTTGGAGAACCCTTTAGGAAAAAAATCATTAGTTAAAGACATTTAGCAGAGGTAAGAGTGGAACTTTCTTTAGCGGCTAGTGGGGGTCACACTGCTAGTTAAAAGTTATGTCTTGAACCCAATTATGTTCAATTTCAAAGTCCATGCTTCTTTTAATCTAGTGTTTTAAAGAAGTATTTAAACCAATCTGATATACTTATTAATAATTTTATGCCCACTGTCAGTTCAAATCCTTTTGGATTTCTAATGTGATAACTTTGCCAAATGAAAAAATGATGATGAAATAAGAATTGTAGTTTTCTCTCAGTTATTTCCCTATTTTTTCTGGAGGCAAATTAAAACTTTTTTTACCCTACAGCTTCAATATTTCTAAACCTTCCCGTCTCATTAGCTCCACACTGAAAGAGGTGTTTTGGTTTAGCATAAAGTTGGAAAACTACTAAGCACACTGAAGTTGTAAACCACAGAATTCTACAAACACTACAAAGACTTGGAGCAGAAGCCAGTGTGTTCGGAAAACCAAGGTCAAAAAAAAAAAAGCGGAAGAAGAAAAGAAAAAGGTGCCAACAGTAGGAAGATGGCACTAGCCTATAACTCTAGAGAGATTAGCTCTACGCTAGGGATTCATTCGCTATTTTTCCCCCTCGGAGAGCGGGGACTCAGCATAGTCTACTGCAACCAACGGGCCATGCCCCTGACAAAGAGGAGGGAATTAGGGAAATCTGTGTACAAGCGGCACTGTACTGGAGAAAAAGCAGGAGGGCTCCAGAAACAAGTCGGGCTCTGCCACTTTGTAGAGCATTCCAAAGAAAGCTACACTTCTCTGAGCCTCAGTTTATCCATTGGCAACACATGGCTAACGACAGTATCCCACCTCATAGAGGAGTCAAAATAATCCACGTAAAGGGTGTACCATGCCTGCCATACAGTAAGAGCTCGGCAAACGCTGGCTATTATTACCTGGGGGTGGGTCTGCTGCTGCCCTGGGGAGTAGCCGAATTGCTGCTGGGACCCCGCGGGGGACTTGGAGTAGTTGCCAGGGTAGCCGCCTGGGGACGGAGACCCGAACCGGCCCCCAGGGAAGCTGCCGCCGTGTCTCGGAGAGAGGCTGCTCCCGTAGGGCCTAGATCGGGGCCCGTACGGCGGCGTGTGGTGTGGACTCCCGTACCCGTCCCGCGGGGATGGCGGCCGCGGTCCGCCTCCGCTCGGGGTACCCCGGAAGCTGCTCCCGCTACCCCAACCTCCTACACCCGGGCCGGGGTAAGGAGGAGTCGGGGGTCGAAAATTCTGTCGCTGCATCTCAGTAGGCGACGACAAGGATCTCACTGGCGCGTTCTCCTGCCGGAACTGTCGCGAGCAACCCTTCACTTATACTTGGTGGTCCATCACGAAAACACTCCTCCGTCCTCCAGCATTATATAGCACATTGGTTCCGGCCTCACAAAGGTTCCGCTAGGGCGGCGGGATAAGTAGGTTATCGAATTGGGTACAGATTGAGTTAAGTGAAGGAAGAAGGGGGAAAAATGGATAAAGGAAAGGCCAAACACCGGCCTTTGAAGTCTCGCGGGCTTTGGTTGGGACTGACCCACCGACTAGGCGCCTGCCCAGAGCTGGGTGGGTGGTTCGGAGCGCTCGGCTGGGCCGATCCGGCCCCTCCCACCTGGTGCCGGCGGAGGGCTGAGTTGTCCGCGGGCGCCCCCAGTCGCTGCGCGAGCGCGGAGTTCTCCACTCGGGGAGCCAGAATTTGTGAGCGGCGCGCAATGCTGGCATCGCTGGCGAGGGTCTCGGCTCTGCGGAGAACCGGCCTTTTCTCCCTCCGGGGCGGCGGGACGGGGCTGTGGACCGGCCGCCCGCAGTCAGGTACCCTCCGAAACTCGGTGCAGGCGGCGAAAGAGACCCCAGTCCCAGCCTTCCCACTCAGGCGGCAATCTGAGTAGAACGCTGCGCTTTCCTTAGTATCCTTTGACCCCGCCGCCCGCCCTCTGACCTTTCGCGTCTCCCCAGCGCCCTGGCTCCGCGGTCGCCGGGTGGTCACCCTGCCCGACGTCCGGGTCCCGATCCGGCCCCCGCGCGGTCCTACGGGGCGGACTCGCCTTTCTCTCTTATTCATCCCTCCTCGTCCGCTATGTTTAAATAACTTGAAAAATGTACCCCCCACCCCCGCAACCAGCTGCATTTCAGAAAGGATTTCAGACTGCGTCTTTAAATAACTCGGGGGTAAGGCTGTGTTCGCAGATGCCGGACTTTATTCCCTTCCTTGTTCTTGTTAAATGCAGTCGGGTAAGGGAGGTGGTTAGGAAGCAGAGATCCTGATTTTCAAAAAGAACATTTGTCCAGAGATCTTAAAGTAATGGCCATTTCACAGACCTTTGGTTATATAGAAAAACGTGATCATTCAAGAAATGACCCCTAAGGTATTCAACACACCTTTGAACCGAGGACCTGGCTCAGAAGTTTATTTAGAAGATGAAATTTGGATTTATTGCAGTTTTCTGAAACTGTCTTGACTCCCTTCGAATTTGGGGATGAAAGTCTACGGTGAGCCTTGAAATCAGCTTGTAGGAAAAAGAATCTTCGAGAATTTTAGGACTCATCTAATCATGGGTAGCGTGGACCTGTGCCTTTCAGCCTATGAACATTCTTGCAGCTTCCTCTTCTCACCGTCCGTTTGACATATTCTGTGGCATGTGGCAAGCTGAAGAATGTGTTGTTTTCTCAGCTACTATCCTTGATGAATGGAGAAACAGTTTTTCGCCATTGTTTGAGAGAATTTGGTTCTTAAGATTTCTTGTTTAGTAGACACAAGTTGTAGAATCAATCAAGGCAGGGTAATCTCATCGAGGCTTTGTGATGCAATTAAGGCCTGAGGATCCCAGATTACCCTCTTTAAACATACTTATGTCCTGTCCAGAAATTCAACTTCCTGGACTTTGTCTTTGGCGCTTAGTTTAATGCCTGGTAATTGGGCTCTCAGGTATTTATTGAATGAATGAGTGGGTCACATCATAACCCACATGAGTAGGTTAGTGAGTCTCACTTGTAATATCACCTTTAATGTCATCAACCAGTCTACCTCTTGGTGGGAGGGAGCAGAGAAATGAGGGTGGCAGGGACCAAAATTACCTTTGTTAATATTTAAATAATTAGCAAATGATTTGTTGAATTGAGTGAAGTACTATAAGTTGTCTTTTTACTTGGCTTGCACTTCTGGAATGTTCTTCCCTGTAGTGATATCTTGCTATCTTCCACACATATGAACTTGTATTAGAAACAAGAAGTAAAGTGTGAAATTTTTGACCAGTAGATTATGTGTGACATTGTGTTCTTCATTATGTTTTCAGGTATTTATATATAGGAGGAGTGAGGGAGAGCACATTCTTAATAATTGTATGAAAACTGCAGATTCCACTTGGATCACTTCTGAGTATAGGCAATTTGCCTTTTTACAGATGAGAAATTGTCCAAGAGAAATTAAGTGACTGAAACGGGAATCTAACTTCTTGTTCACAGAGTCGAAGAATGGAATCCATGAACATGCAGACACTCATGGTAGCAAGCAAATAGGATTTATCAGAAAGGAGGAAAATACAAAGCTCTCAGCATAGACACTGGGGGTAGGGGGTAGTAAAGAGTCCCTAAAAAGGTGGGGATTACAGCAGTCTTATATCTTTACCAGTATTAATCTGTGCATTTTTGGTTGACTCCTGTCCTTAAAGTACATCATTTTTGACCAATCAATTTAAAGGTCAAAGTGTTTAACTTAACATCTTTATGGCTTCATAATATGTACTTCATAGCATTTTTTTTTTTTTTAGATATTTATAGATTGGTAGATTTTAATTTTGAACATTTGTAAATGTAGCTAGAGTTTTCACAGGTCCTGGGGATTGCAGTCTGACTGCTTGAGCTGATGGGTCTGAGGTCCCAAGACGCATATTTCAATTTATTTATATGCTGGTGAGTTCAGGGGAAGAGCAGTGTAGGAAGTTTTATGTTGCATTACTTGGAAATAGAAAAGTGAAGTGGGATGGTGTATGTGAGAGTATGGTGACTGCCCCATGAATGAAGTCGGAGTCCTGTGAGGAGAAAAGGGCACTTTAACATTTGTGTGAGTAACACGAGTATTGTTCTGACAAAAAAAGAATTGTAGAACTGTTTAGGGAGGACCACCTTTAGAAAACAGGATCCCAAATAGGATAGTGCATTTATTGAAGACACTATTAATGGCTAGGTGATGTCTTCAAGCGACAGTGTACTCAGAGGACATCAACAGGCAAAGTGTTAAGGAACTTTCTCAATACCTATGAAGTATATGGGGATCCCCAAAATAATTGGTTAACTTTCTGATGATGCATGTTTTACAAGTTTTACATTAATGCAAGTAAGAGTACCACAAATCTAAGTGTAAGTGAAAATGGGAACTTGTCCATTTTTGTAAGACAGAGAATCTTTATTGGGGTTACCAAAGATTTTTTTTAGTGTTTCTTTTTTTTGGTAGAGCCTTTTTGAGAGCATATGGCTTCGTGTTTGAAGGAGGAATTGGGATTCCCAGAGCTGCTCACTCTGTCCCCTACTTTATCTGCCTCCTTTAAAAGACACTTCTGAGGCACCTCTGAGGAATTTCTAGGGCTCTCCAGAAAGGATTTGAAAGCCAATATGTTTGGTAGGCATCAGGTCTTAACGAGTGCTGAAAACGTAAATACTTGGGGTAGTTTTTACTACTTATTACCAAGGAGTGAATATTTTCGTTTCTGCATGGTCAGGGCTTTCTACGCCAAGAAAACTAGAACTTGGGTTAAAGGGCAAGCCTTGGAAGTTAAAAGATAACTGAAATGATTTTTAGAGAGCTTCCAGGAAATTTATGTTTATATTTCAAAGGGGTATAAAACTCAGAGCCTTGGATACCTTCCCAAGATGGAGGTTGTTAACCCAGTGACATTTATCTTTCCTCCTGGAGACATTTATTTACATTCCAGAGAGTCAGAACCCAGGGAGCATCCCCCTTTCTTCCTGAGCAGAATTTGCTTACTTTTGGGCGATTAGCTGTCTCTGCTTTTTTGGGGGAAGGTTCAGTACCGAGCAGCTGTTCCATACAAACTGATTGGTTTATAATTTGGGGGATCTTTCCTAGGGTTCAGTCCTTGTATGTGCAGGTGAAGTCCACCAGTCTCATTATGACTCCTGTAACTAATTAGTTGGGGAGAAAATGGTGCATTTCTTGACGTAAGAAATAATAACTCTGATCTCTGCTTCAGAAACCACATTTTTGAATGAGTATGGGTATTAAAGACCATGTATTTTTAATGAAAGCACTTCTTAGGACAGGAGAGGGTATTTAATAGCATCTATGTTGGAAATGTTTGTTCCAATTTTAGTAAATGTGCTCCTGAAACTAGTCCTGGAAATGTTTGTTCAGGTATCTCGGGATCTGCAGAGGATTGATTCCAGGATTCCCGCCCCCTTGGATACCAACATCCAAGGATGCTCAAGTTCCTTACTATATAAAATGGTTTGGTATTTGCATATAACCATGTGTCCTGTGTGTACCTTATAATACCTAATACAATGTAAATAATATGTAAATAGTTGTAAATACAGTGTAACTGCTATATAAATAGTTGTGGGAGGTGTGGCATATTCAAGCTTTGCTCTTTGGAATTTTTTTCTCCCCAATATTTTCATTCCACCATTGGTTGAATCTGTAGTTGAGGAACCCATGGATGGGGTGGCGGGGGTGGAGCTACTGTGATATACTTAAGAGCATAAGCTACCATAGTATTCCCTGAGCCTTTTAGATTATCTCTGTTTCCTCTTCTCTTGTTAGCTGTTTAGCTGTTCCATGTTAAAGACTGTCAATAGTAGAAAAGTAAATACATCTCTAGGATATGATTAGCTCATTCACTGATAGGGTGAGGTCTGCATTGAACACAGTACATCACTTAACTATCACTTATGTAATGTTCTCATTGATTAAGCAGGTGTTGGAAGCAACTTGTTCTTGTCTCTGAGAGTCAAACTACTGTTAATGATCTTCTTTTCAATTCTAAGCATGTTTCCATTGTCCATAGTAGTCAAGCACAGGTGAAATGTTTCATACATATGTATTTCTTTTTGATTAATAGTCTTCACCCATGTGTAATACGTGTTAATGCATTAAGTCACTTATAAAAATTTTTATTGAATATAATAAAATTGTTGACAGAATACTTTGACATGAAGAATAAGAATGTAATTATTCTTTTCCAAATACAATTTTTTGTTTTAAAATGAGTGAATAAAATTTTAATGTCACTAGAATTTGTATCTTTGTGTTTTATACTCATAAAAGGTTAATAGTCTTACTACATGAAGAGTCCATACAGATCAATAAGGAAAAGATAAATGTGCATGTAGACATATGGGCCAACAAGAAGAATACATTATTTACAAGAGAAGATATAAAAAAAGAGAAAGTATGAAAAGCAGTGTTAATTTCTGGTCATTAAGTAAATGAAAATTAAAATGATAGTAACATGCATATTTTTAACTGTTGAATTTAAAACAAACAAATAAACAAAATGCTCCCAAAACTAAGCTGTTGTGGGTTATGGGAGATAGTGGAGAACATTGTTTTCCACGGCTGATGCATATATATATTAGTACTGCTTTTCTGGTGGACAGTTTGATTGTATGTATGAAAAGTTTGAATGAATGAACATGCCTAGGCCAGCTTAAGACCTGCCTCTGTCCTTGGAAACATGCTCCTCACTGTGCCTTAATCCCCCCAAACTCTAAAAGGCTTAGAGAATAATTTTTATCTTTACTACTTAAAGAGACATCCCTGGGAGGGTTCCACAGCACTTCACAGAGAGTATCCTAAG